GGGTTTAGGGTTCAGGGTTTCGGGTTCTCCGCCTAAGCCAGGGTCGGCCGGGTCACAAGCCGGAGGTTGTCCAAGCCGGTCTGAGCGGTGTCCAGCTGATGCTCCTGCTCTGAGGGCTTAGGGATTGGCCTCTGGGCTTTGGGGCTCTCATTTGTTGGGTAGTTCTCTAAATTTGGGATTGTCAAGGATTGGATTTGGGTCCCTTTGCGCCGGGTCCTTCTTCTCCTATGGCTGCTGTAGTATGTGTAGGACCTCAAAAGAGGACCCCAATTTAGAGAACCACCTCTTGGGTGTTAATCTAACAAATGTAGGTTGCAACCGTGGGTTTTGGGGGGTTCTATAGGCGAGGTGAGGTTTTGGGCTTTAGGTCAGGTTGGTTTTCGGTTTAGGACTTCGGGCTCAAGGTTTAGGGCTTAGGGTGTAGGGCTTTGGTCTTAGGGTGTTGTCTCACGTAGAGGCAGGGAGGGGGGACAAACCGACCCTCAACAGGCTTTGGGGGCTGAGGAGGTCCATAAAGAGGCTCAGGGTCCTAGGATCGTGGATTGTAGTCCCTGAACCCTAGAACCTTACACTCTAAACCTTAAACCCTAAACTACCCTAAACCCTAAACTTCCCTAAGCCCTAAACTACCCTAAGCCCCAAACTACCCTAAGCCCCAAACACCCTAGACCCTAAACTACCCTAAACCCTAAACTACCCTAAACCCTAAACTACCCTACCCTGAACTACCCTAAACCCTAAACTACCCTAAACCCTAAACCCTAAACCCTAAACCCTAAACCCTAAACCCTAAACCCTAAACCCTAAACCCTAAACCTAAACCCTAAGTGTAAACTACATAAACCCTAAGCCATAAGCCCTACATCGCTGGGCACGACTGTCAGGGGCTTTTCGTCCACTTCTTGCTCGAGAAGCTGCATGGGATCGAGCCCTGCCGACGCCTGGTGCCGGGAAAAGGGTTAAGGGTGTTTAGGGTCTAGGGTTTAGGGTTCAGGGTTTAGGGATTAGGGTAACTACTCGAACCTCGTACACCGAACCCCCCCCCCCTAAACAGAATTGGGATTGAGATCCGATCATCTGGTTTCAAGCATAGATTCTTAATTGAGGAGTTTAGAATGGGTGGTTGGCCCGTAAACCCTAGACCCTAAACCTTAAGCCTAAACCCAACAAACCCTACAAACCCTAAACCCTAAACTGCCCTGAGCCCTCATCCTTGATTCTTCGGCACATGGCGGTGTCGTGCCTGCTCAGCCCGCGGCCGTTTCTGCCCATGCCGTCCTGCGGCCAGAACGATGAAGCCTACCCAACCCAATAACAGGGTTGATAGGGTTTCGGGTTGAAGGGGATCAGTGCTTGGAGAGTAACTTAGGCAACCCCAAACCCCAAACCCCAAACCCCAAACCCCAAACCCCAAACCCTAAACCCTAAACCCTAAACCGAGACAAGGCCTGGCCCAACTTGAAGGCTTGCAGCCCGAAACCTACAGGAAGATGTAGCCCCAGCCGATTGAACATCGTGACACCTTAGGTGAGCAACCCCCTCCCGGATTCCTTTAATCCTTAAATGTGTGGGGTCTAGGGGGGAGGGTGTAGGGTTTAGGGTTCAGGGTTTGGGTTTAGGGTCCTAAACCGCAAACCCTAAACCCATAACCTTACATGTGCAAAGGGTTGAGGGTGGCTCATTTTGGGGTCCTTTTTGTAAGGCGGCCCCCAAAATAGAGTACTCAAAAAGACCGAAAATCCTTGGGGCTATGTAAGCGTTTATAAGGTTTAGGTTTTAGGGTCTAGGGCTTTAGGGTTTAGGGTTTGAGGGTTTGAGGGTTTTAGGGTTTTAGGGTTTTGGGGTTTTAGGGTCTTAGGGTTTTAGGGTGTAGCGTATATGACCAGGGCCTAAAACCCTGAAAGCCCCGAGGCTGCCTCGGCGAGGGCCCACGCGAACGGCGCCACCCACGTCTTGCTCGTCGCGCTCGATGGATGCCTTGAACCTTGCTCAAGGGACTCAAGGAGGGACCCTTGCAAGGGACCTGAGGGGTTCCCAGGATGGGTTACTAGGCCTGATAATCCCTATAGTCAACCCTGTAAAAGGGGCCGTTTGAAGGGGTTGTAGGGTAGAATAGCCCCGTCCTGGTTCTTTGGGGCCTAGTTAGGGGCTACTTAGGTATATAGGAACTATATAAGGTATATATGAGGGTTATATAGGGGAATATGCTTTAGGGACTTTATCAGGTATATATGAGGGCTATAGAGGGGAATAGGATTAAGGGTCCCTTCTAGGGGTCCTTAAGGGTGACTTAGGGGCTACTTAGGTATATAGGGACTATATAAGGTATATATGGGGGGTTATATGGTCACGCTCGATGCATGCCTTGAACCTTGAGGTGGGGGCTGTCTCAGTGGAGGTATGGAAGCCCTAAGCCCCAAACTAACTCTACACCCTATAACCCTAAACCCTAAACCTAAAGCCCTAAACACTATAAACCTTAAAGACCGTAAACCCTGAACCCCAAGCTTTGGACTCTAAACCACTTGAGATCTAGGAGATGTCGCTGGCCACTTGCTCCTAAACCCTAAACCCTAAATACCCTAAACCCTGAACCCTAAACCCCAAACCCCAAACCTCAAACCCTAAACCCTAAACCCCAAACCCTGAACCCTAACCAGCAGTCGATCTCAAAAATCTGTCCAACCCTCGCGTCGCGTGGCACGGGCGGCGCCCTCCCGTCGCTGCCGTCTCCCGGCAGTCCCATGGGCGCTGGCTCCTGTTAGGGTTTAGGGTTTAGGGTTTAGGGTTTAGGGTTTAGGGTTTAGGGTTTAGGGTTTAGGGGGAACGCAAGCCCACAGAAGAAAAGAACCAAGACCACCCGTGGGATTGGAGGTTGTCTAGAGCCTTGAGGGCCTGGGGTTTAGAGAGTTTAATTGTTTTAGGGTTTAGGGTTTGAAAAGGGTTTCGGGGTTTGGCTGGCGGGGGGGGGGGGGGGGGGGGGGGGGGGGGGGGGGGGGGGGGGGGGGGGGGGGTCGCGGTTTCAGATGCTTAACGGGGCAAGGCCTCAACCTCTAAGGCCCTAAGCCCTATAAGCCCCATATACAACCCTGAGCCCCATGTCAAACCTTGTGCCATTTGATGTTGTGGTTGAAGTGGTCGGGGCTCTGAGAGGGCTTAGGTTCTGTGTAGTGGTTAGGGTGGAGGCTTGCAGGTTTTAACTTGCTTCCCCGATAACCCAGGAATGGCAAGGTTAAACTTTATGATTCCGACACAATAATGAAGGACACCGAAAGTCTAGAGTTCATGTGATGGCTAAGTAAGTTTGTGCATCCTCATCTGATGAACAAACCCAAACCCAAGACTCTTGAAATCCCTCAAATGCCCCAGCACTTTCGAAGCGCTCGTCCTCTCCAGCGGCTCCGCTTGGCACCTGTTTAGGGTTTAGGGCTTAGGGTTAGGGCTGTCGAAGCTGCTGTTTGCGCTTGCGGCCACTGCTGCGGGAGCCACGTGTAATCTGTGGACTCTACCCCTAAACCCTAAACCCGAAGCCCTGCACCCTGTGCCCCAACTAGATCCTGAAGCCACCGCTCAGCCAGGTTTTCTAGACCCAGGAGGAGGAACCTAGGAATAAAAGGGTGCTGTTTTTGGTTTTTAAGGGGATTAAAAGGGAGCCTTAACCCTAAACAAAAGGGAATAGGGCCCTTCTCTGGCCCCAGCCCTAAACCCTAAACCCTAAACCCTAAACCCTAAACCCTAAACCCTAAACCCTAAACCCTAAACCCTAATTCCGGTTTTCATGACAAGTGATCCTCAAACCACATCTGTGCTGTATTCGGGCATGCCTCCTGAGGATGGCTTCGGGGGAGCCCTTAGGGTTTAGGGTTTAGGGTTTAGGGCTCAGGGTTTCGGGTTTGGGGTTACGATGAGAGGGCTTCCCCAAAGTGGACGGCGTACCCTCTGGGTAGGAGGAGGGCTTCATAATCTTACGGAGCTCGGGGACTTAGGCACCTGGTATTTTAGTATCTAAATTTCAGGCTCCAAGGACTCGGATATTCAGGTTTTGGGGAGGGTTCAGAGTTTAGGGTCGGGGGTGCCCTACCACTCCCTAAACCCTAAACCCTAAACCCTTTCAACCGGTGCGCGTGCCTGGCGCAGGTTCCCCTCCTTCAGGTCCAGCAGCAGCGGCTCGCCGCCGCCTCTTTTCTCGGGCTTTGAGGGTGCCCTCTGGGGAGGGTGTAGGGTTTAGGGTTTAGGGCTAGGGTTTATAGGGCTATGGTTTAGGGTTTAGAGTTTAGGGTTGAGGGGGTAGCAAGGCGACGCGAGATACACGCACCACGGATGAGGCTTGAGATTTAATGAGCACAAGAGCCTTCAACCCATACGTCATCCTAACCCCGAGACCTAAATATCCAATCATACCCACCCACCCACACACGCACACTGCCAACCCTAAACACACGCAAACGATTAAACCCGAAACCCCCAAAACCTCACAACACACATCCCGCAAACCCTGAAAACAGATCCACACCCTAAACCCTAAACCCTATAAGCCCTAAGCCCCAAACCCGAAACCCTAAACCCTGAAAACTGCTGGGACCTGTCCCAGCACCCCCACCTTCCAAACACTTGACGCGCCAACGGTGCGGAACCTCGCCTGGCTCAGGGGTTTAGGTTTAGATTTTACTGTAGGGTTTAGGGTTTAGGGTTTAGGGTTTAGGGTTTAGGGTTTAGGGTTTAGGGTTTAGGGTTTAGGGTTTAGGGTTTAGGGTTTAGGGCTCCAACACGTCTGAACCGTAAGCCCTAAGCCCTTAAGGTTGAGGGTTTGGGTTTTGGGGTCCGGATGTGCTTTGTTGCTGGCCAGTAAGATTATGGGGTTCTAGGACTTCGAGGGGATTAGTTCGCGTGAGGGTTTGAAGCTGGTTTGAAGGCTTGGGATTTAGGGCCCAGAACCCAAAACCATAAACCCAAAAAAAGAACCTAAACCCTAAACCCTTGCCCTTTGTTGTACTTTTACTTTAACGCCGGACCGTGCCTTCACAAAGAGTCCCATAAGGCCGAGCATTTCTTCTTTAAGCAGTCATGGAAGTATCCGAATATGTTGAAGTAATATCATTTTACAGTATGATGCTGTGCTAGTACCCTAAACCCTAAACCCTAAACCCTAAACCCTAAACCCCAAAACCCCCAAGCCCTAAGCCCTAAGCCCTAAACCCTCAACATGATTCTTTAAGCCGCCCGCCTCCCGTGGTCTTTGCCAGCACGCGCTGCACGATGACACCGCGCTTGCCGTTGTGCTTCGAGGCCGACACCAGCCCTGGCATGCTGGGCTGGCCCTGTAGTTAGGGTTTAGGGTTTAGGGTTTAGGGTTTAGGGTTCAGGGTTCAGGGTTCAGGGTTCAGGGTTCAGGGTTTAGGGTTTAAACCCTCTGAACGGATCTTCCTATATTCCCACGCCTGTACAAAGCCATCTCTAACCTGACAAAGGGGGCGGAACCCTGACCTAGGGCCAGTGGATTAATAATTCGAATAGGGTTTTGGGGGTTGCTAATGTGTATTTATATAGGGGTTCTAAGGGAATGGTATTAGTAATCTGTCCGGCCCCTATGGTACATCCCGAAGCCACAACCTCTGAGCTCCCCATCGCATGCCTTGGATCTCTACTTCGTCCCCAAGCTCCAGATGCATCTCGCCCGTACTTTGGGGCGGCACCGGATCCCGCGGGGCCGGCGCCTGGCTGCAACAGACACTCGACGCATGGAACCCCACTGCACCTCTACACCCTGAACTCGAAAAGGCCGAACTCTCTGAAACCTAAACCCGAAAAAGTCCTCAACCTAAGATGGCAGTCGATGTAAGGCATTTCAGTTATTTCTAGGAGTGCTTAACCCTAAACCCTAAACCCTACATCAGCCGGTGCTCAGGACCCAAAGGGGTCACAACTTTGGTCAATACCCCTGCCAGCAGGGTCCCTAAATTGTCATCAGCCTTAAGCCCCTAATCTCGGGCGGCCCGACGAAGGGGTTTAGGGTTTAGGGTTTATGGGTTATGGGTTTAGGGTTTAGGGTTTAGGGTCTAGTGGTCAACCCTAAGCCATCTTAGCCATGCTAAGCTCTATTACTATAAGCCGCAATAAACCGGATAGGGGACCAGAATTTTGGGCTTAGTGTGTTGGATCTATGAGCCCTACCTTAAGAAGCCAAAACCTACTTTTATAGGTCACCTAAGAATCCTGTAAGGGCTGTATATCAAGAATCTACAAAGATGCAGGTTTGGGGTTGCTAAGGTACTTTCTTCTCCAATAACCAAGGGGAAAAAAGGTTAAACTTTAATGTTCCTGCTAAATATGGAAACCCAAAAAGTTTAAAGTTCAACTAAAGGCGAAGTAAGGGTAACCCCTAGACTAAGCCCCTCTTGACGCCTCGGCCGGCTTCTTGAAGCCCACGAGAGTCAGCCGATCACGCGCCACGCGCATCGGCACTTTCACTGCAACCTCGCGGTGTGGGGAAGGGTTTGGGATTTAGAGAGGGGTTAGGGTTAGGGTTTAGGGTTTAGGGTTTAGGGTTTAGGGTTCAGGGTTTAGAGTTTAGGGTTCTCGGCCTTATCAAGGGTTCTCTAAGGTTTAAGGAGTATATATGCGCTGCACGCCGAGTTCTCGAACCCCCCCCCCCCCCCCCCCCCCCCATGGTACAAAGCAAGGTGAAACCCCAAACCCTAAACCCTAAACTCGAAACCCTAAACTCTAAACCCTAAACTCTAAACCCTGAACCGAAAAGCTTGAAGCCTAACGATAAGCTTAAACCCTAACCCGCAAGCCAGACGATAAGGCCACACCCTGAACCCACCATCAACCACGGACCATGAACCACAGGGAAGGGGTGCATGAATGCTGGGGCATATATAGGATTATTGGGTTTCGGTTTAGAAGGACTTTGAGGTTTTGGATTTGTGGGAATATGCGATGTAGGGATTATAGTGAGTGTAGGGCTTAGGAGAGTAGGGGCGTCATGGTTAAGTCGGTAGGTAGAGGTTGGGGTTGAGGGTCTTAGGGGTTTAGAGGTTCGGGCTGAGGGTTTTGAGCTGGTGTATAAGGGTTTAGCAGGGCTCGGTTTCATGAAAAGAGATTTGAATAGACATTGGCTTTCGTACTTTCAATTCCGGTCCCGGTGCGTCGCCTGTCTCATCAGCTGCAAGCTTACAGCCCTTGTATCCTAAACCCTCAGCCCGACTGGCATACGCAATCGGTCTTAGGTTGAGGGCATTCAGCACCCCGCCACGCCCAAGCATTCAAAACCCCGCGGCCGGCTTAGCTTTGGTGGTTGAAGCCCTACAAAGTTCACAAGCCTTGACGCCTTTTCGATGTGATGGTAGGGGTTTATAGGGTTTGAGGGTTTAATTACAGGGTTTAGAGGGTTTATAGGGTTCATGGGGTGGATAGGGTTTATAAGATTTGATTATAGGGTTTATAGGGCTTATCGGGCGTATAGGGTGTAGAAGCTCTAGAATTCCTTTCCCACCCCCCCGGCCCCCCTGCGCCCACCCCATGCCTCCCATCGACCGCGTTCGTTGGGACAGCTCGAGAGAACAACGCCTGCTTCACCACGGCAGGACAATGCCACACACCCTAAACACCAAACCCTACACACCCTCACTACCCCAAACCCTAAACCCTACACCCTACACCCTAAAGGTTTCATAGCAGGGAAGTCTGGTTCAAAACCCAGGGTTCCTGCAAGGGCCCTATTGTATAGATGATTACCCTTAAGCTCAAAATAGCCCGAAAAATCTTCAATCATAAGGCCCTGGGGCCCAAAAACCTCAAAAGAAGAGTCCTGGGAGCCTTAGGGTTAATTATTGACTATTGATTGCTGGTATAGATTAGTACTATGGACCACGGTCTATAACCAACAGTAGCCGAGGAATAAACGGGGTGCCCTTTTGGGTTTAAAGGGGCGCTGCAGTGGAACCTAAGCCGAAAGAGAGCAGAGAACAAGGGCCTTAACATCCCCATAACGAACCCTATAAAGGGCCTTTTAAGGGATGAGAGGGTAGAATAGCCCAATGACGCAACGTCACTCCGCAAACCCCAAGACGCCTCAAGCCCTACACCCTCTTCACTGAACCTTAAACACCTCAGCGTTGAACCCTGAACCCTAAAAACTCAACCCCGGAACCCTTTTAAACCCACAAGTCAATGCTCCCGGAAGCTAGAATGCAGGCCTTGAAGTGCAACATGCTCCAACCGAAATCTTAAGCCCGAACCCCGAAACTCTGAATCAACCCTGAGCGATTCAATCCACGAACCAAGCCCGAAAGAAGAAACTCCAAACCCTGCATGACCCTATAGAGACGCTAAACCCTAAACCCTAAACCCTAAACCCTAAACCCTAAACCCCGAAAAGCCCTCCGTCGCAAGCCGCTAAAACCTAAACCTCCGTCGCAAGCCGCCTGAGAGGCCGTTGTAGGCGGCTCCAGCACGGAGCTGGCAAAGCCTGTGTAGTAGGGGGGCGTGGTTTACGATACGATCTAGGGCTTGGGAATTTCCCTTAATAAGGCTCCGTGAACCCATATTTTAAGGGTTTTGGGCCCAATGACCTTATGATAGAAGGCATTTTTGGGGGGCTACTTTGAGCCTAAGGGTTAGGGTTTCGGGTTTAGGGCGCCTCTGGCTCCTGCATAGTAGAGCTTCACTGCACTGAGAAAAACTTCTTGGTTCGTGTGGTATACAGTATGGTAAGGCTTAGGGCTTATAGGGTTTAGGATTTAAAGTGCTTAGGGTTTAGGCTTTACAGGAGTTATTTACACCAGGAAAAGCAATTTGAGCTCTAGGAGAAGCCATGATTGCTCGATCGAGGTGCTCCACCGCCACACCCCTCACCAACGGCAATGGGCCTCAGTTCACCGCTGAATGGCTTCTAGAACCAAGAGTAACCTAGCCATAAAGGGTGCGTTTTTTGGTTTACAGGGACGTCCAAGGGAACCCCAACCCTACAAGAAGGGAATAAGGGCCTACTCTGGGTCCTGGGCCTCGAGGTTCGGGAGTTCAAGGCATGTAGGTTGCAAGGTTACGGTCTCGATGGCTTGGGGTTGAGGGTTCGGCTTTTTGGGTTGAGGCTGCCCTGAGTCTCGGGACTTCAGCGTGCGCAGGGAGTTTCGAGTTTCAACGCGTGAGGTCAAACACCCCCGTTTTCAAGGGTATCGAACTTGCGCATTTTTTCAACAAACCTCTGAGTAAACCTAATTACCCTAAAGATGCCCAAGACATATCCGGCCTTAACTTCAGAATCCACGTCCAAGAAATATGCTCTAAGCCCTACAGACCCGAACCAACCCTCGACACCCTGGCTTGGCTGCACTCAGCAGGGTAGCTATAAATTAAACTTTTAGTTGCCTTATTAAGAAACCCAATAAACCCAAAAAGGGTAAGGATCTAAAGTTACAGCAAAGTACCACAAAGTAAGCCCTGCAGACCCTAGCCAACCCTCGACACCCCAGAGCTCTTCTGACTTCAGCCAACGGCGCAGGAGGGAAGTGGCAGATCCTCGAAGCCTTGGGTTTAGGGTTTAGGGTTTAGGGTTTAGGGTTTAGGGTTTAGGGTACTGGAAACACAAAATGGGGGGCGTCCGACAATAGGGGTACCCTTCTTGGGGGATCTCTTTAAGGGGACCAAGGAAGAAACAGGGCGCACGCCCAGAAAACTAGCAAAAAGGGTATCACTGACGGCCCTAGTTGTAGAGCAGTGACCATAGCCTACGAACTGGAACACAGGAGTACAAAGCCCCAAGCCTTAAACTGGTTAGATCCTCAGCTTGCTATGAGGATATCAACGAGTGATGGGTTTAGGGCTCACGGTGGAGGTTTTGGGGATATGGCGCTGGAGGAAACCTTTTGGATCAAGAGGGGCTTAGAGTTTTGGGAGCTTAGGGTCAAGGACGGGTGCAGGAAGGCTTCGAGTTTCGAGTTTCGGGGGGTTTCGGGTTAGGGCTTACTAGGGTGGGCATGTGATCCGATAGGTGTGACTGGAGTTACAAGTACCCCATCCTTTCTAGGCTCAGACACAAAGACTTCTTTGTTTGCATGCGATGACAGACCTTGTGCTCTCTAGTTCTGTAGGGTGGGCAACAGTACCTACTGCACAAGGGATATGTTGTGCGTTGTACATCGGCACATGGCGTGTTGGAGCATGAGTTGCTCGAAACCTATTGGCTGGCTGAGGAAGAAAGCTACATCCTCGGTACTTTGCTCAGGGGAAGTACACTGCATCAGTGTGGTCTTTGGGTTTTAAGGGTTGTGGGTTTTAAGGGTTGTGGGATTGTCCAGGATGGTTTAGGCCTCGTAGTGATTTGCTTGCAGAGGCTCTCCGCCCAGACCCTAGACCCTGAAACCGTTACCGTTAGGCCTATAAACCCTAAACCCTAAAACCCTAAACCATCAGACTCCCAGACCCCAAACTCGAGACCCCCCTTAACGTCACAGGGACCGGGCAGGCGCCTCTCTCGGAGGTTGGTGGGGAGCAGTGCCAGGGTCTTGTGGACCTGGCACAGGGCTTCCTCTAAGCCCTAACCCCCTAAACCCTAAACCCTAAACCCTATTAAACCCTAACCCTGAACCCTAAACCCGTTTCAGGGCTCAAGGGTCTTAGGGTTGAAGGGCTCTTAGGATTTGGGTTGAAGTGTTCCGGGTTAAGGCCCAAACTTGACAGGGTCTTGGGATTCTAGGGCCAGCATAGGCCTACCAAACAAAAACACCCAGTGGGAACTTACACCCCGTGCTACTCTAATCCCCACTAGGAGATATGAACCAGAAGCCTCTTGGGTTCATTGTGAATCTTCCCGGTAGTCCCCGACCCTACATCGCGAAACCTTAACCTGAACGTTAGACCTAAGGCCTCTGCATCCTTCGACCGCACCTCGACCCCAACCTCTATGTGCTGGCAAGTAAGCCCATCACGCGTTAAGGGTCCAGGGTCATTTTGGCAGCTACGGCTACGGCTGCGTCTACCTGCGCGTACACCGAGGTTCAGGGCACTTGTCACCCGAATTATAGCCGTAGTTCTGAGCCCCCTAAGTCCTCTAAGTGGGGTTATAAGCAGCATTTATAACTGGGGGTATAAGCCTAAACCCTAAACCCTCAACCCTAAACCCCAAACCCCAAACCCTAAACCCTAAACCCTAAACCCCTAAACCCTAAACCCTAAACCGCTAACCCTAAACCCTAAACCCCAAACCCCAAACCCTAAACCCTCAACCCTAAACCCTAAACCTCCAAGCCTCCACAAGCCAGAGGCCGGTCGTCCGATCCGGCCGCTCAGCGGCGATGAGCCCGGCCTCCTCTCAGGGCTTAGAGGGGTTAGGAAGGTTTAGGGGTTAGGGTTTAGGGCTTTAGGCTTTAGGCTTTAGGCTTTAGGCTTTAGGGTTTAGGGTTTAGGGTTTAGGATTTAGGGTTTAGGGTTTAGGGTTTAGGGTTTAGGGTTTAGGGCTTTAAGCTTTAGGGCTTTAGGGTTTAGGGTTTAGGGTCTAGGGTTCAGGGTTTAGGGCTTTAGGCTTTAGGGCTTGAGGGTTTGGGGTTTAGGGTTTTGGGCTTAGGGCTTGGGGGTTTCGGGTTTGGGGTTTAGGGCTTGGGGGTATGAAGGGATACGGGATTTAGGGTTGAGGGTCCAGGGATGAGAAATCCTACAAATATGGGAAGTTTGTCCTTGCTTGTTTGCTGGGGGTTGTGCGAGATCCGAGCCCTGAACCCTAAACCCCAACCGTGAGCCGTAAACACTAAACCCTAAACCCTAAGCCCTAAGCCGCATCTTGCGAGGGGGTGCGAGTTCTGGCCACCTGGCCGGCTCCTCCTTCGCCTCGCCGCTGCTGATGCCCACCGTGACAGGAGCGCCCTGCCAGAACAGGCGGTAGCCCGGCACTCTGAGAACGTGCCTCGGCTCGGCGTGACTTGGGGTGCTTCCCTGAGTATACTACTTGCTTACAAGAGCCTCAAAAACAAACAGAGGAACATAACCACTATATTGCCCTTCTGAGGACGAAGATGCTTGTTTTTTTGTTGGGGGGGAGGGTTCGTAAGCAAATTGCGGTAAACCGTGGTCCCTTTAGAATTTAAGTCCTGTTGCCATATACCCTTACCTTCAAAATGCCCGAGCAAGGGGGAACACAATTGGGAAAGTCACCCCGCCACTGTCCTACACCCCGACGCCCTACCATAAAAGCCAGGAGGCACGGCAAATCGGGGCTATAAGGTTGCTGTCCAGGCAGCCCAGGTTTCCTAAACCCTAAACCCTAAACCGCCTAAACCCTAAACCCTAAACCCTAAACCCTAAACCCCGGGCAACTCCCATGACACACAGCACTCCGGAAGAAGGGCTTTGGAAAAAAGAACTTGTCTAAGCCCGAGGCCTTGCCTTAGCAACAACACAGGGTATTTGCTGACCATTCACAGCAGGAAAATGTTGTCAGGCTGTGTGAACATTCAAACATGAAACCTTCTCCGAACACTTAAAGATCATGATCGTATACGATCCCTATAGAGGCTCAGTTGCTGTTAGTATGTAGCTCTGCGCTGCCACAGGCATCATATGCCCCAGCAGGTGTCAAACCAGGAGACTTCCATGTATTCTAAGATTGAAGTTGCTCTCAACGATGCGAAAGATCATTGGCCGACACGAAACAAGTCTCACAAGGCAGGCCTATAGCCCAAACATGTTGAACATACAAATGCAAAGACACTTCCATGAAAAACTTGTAACGATCAGCATGTGATGGTCCAAGAGAAATACGAACGCTTCAGCTATTCCATTTCGCGGACGTGCAAATCTTAAACCCTGAACGCCCCCCAGGCCCTCAGCAACCCTCAGCAAGCAACCCTAAACCTTAAACCTTAAGCCCGAAGCATAGCTAACTTGTCTCGCAAGCCCGCTCATGGAACGCCTGCGAGCACTGCCGGATGGCAGCATCTTATCCACTCCCACGTTTGCAACCCTCAACCCTAAACCCCAACCAAGTGCGTCGAAGCAGGGCAGGTGCCCAAGGGCTTCACAAACCAAGATGCTGAAGTACAGGATCCCTCCCGAGCTTGCTCGCTCGGAGCGGTCAGCGCGTTCCGTCACGATATGAGCTCCAAACCCTAAAGCCCTAAACCCTAGGCCCGCCCTACTTAAACCCCTTACTTCTCCAAGAACCAAGGGGAAAAAAGGTTAAACTTTAATGTTCCTGCTAAATATGGAAACCCAAAAAGTTTAAAGTTCAACTAAAGGCGAAGTAAGACCCTGAGTATCCTCAACCCTAAGCCCTCAAAAACAACCCTGACCCCAGCAGAAAGCGGCCAAGCCGCGTGGAGCCTTTGCGTGTCGTCTCCACCTCCGGGTCGAAAAACTTCCGGGGGAACTTTCGCGGCTTGGGGCTTTCGGGCAAGCATATTTCTAGGCTTCGAAGGCCCTATACATATGTATAAAGGTATACGTATACATAATGCACAAAAATATGTGTATAGTACATTCTTATGTGCACACATAGATATACGTACATATTCATGTATGATTTTGTATTTGTTTAATTGTTATTCCTTTATGCAGGTAAAAATGTAGATGTAGTATGGACAGCGTTCATAGTCAAGCTCTAAGACTTTGCAAAAAACTTTGTCGATGATGGAACTACCTGCATCGAGCCCTTAAGGGATCCCACCCTAAACCCTACACCCTACACCCTACACCCTAAACCCTAAACCCTAAACCCTAAACCCTACACAAAACATCGAAATTGCCTACCGGCTGTCGACTGCTTATAACTTCAAATCATCAAAATAAACCCAAAAGTGACCTAATAATGGAAACAACTGCCCTCATGTGGTTAAAGGGGCTTAAGAGGCAACCTACCCACCCCCGCACCCCCCCCCCCCCACAAAAAAAAAAAAAAAAACAAAAAAACTGAATATAATATATAATAAATAGATGAATAGATATATAATTTAATAATAATGATGATAATAATCATAATAATCATAGTAATAAGAATAAATCAATAAAACATAATAATAATCATAATCATAATACAAATAATGAGGGAAATGCAATGTTGCATGGTCTAGGCTCGGGGGGTCAGAACCTGAGGGTTTAGGGTTTAGGGTTCAGGGTTTAGGGCTAAGGGCTTCGGGTTTAGGGCTTAGGGTTTGGGGGCTGAATCTACGCTGAATCTACGCCGTGCACTTGCTTCCAGCCTCCCATCGGCCGTTAGTGTCTGGGGCGTCCGAGGCGATGGTCCCTGGCGCGGCATCGTAGTGCGCCTCCTCTGCGGCAGCAGGCTCTGCCTGAACTTGCAGGGCGGACTTGCGTACAACACCTAAAGCCCTAAAGCCCTACAGCCCCAAAGCCCCAAAGCCCTAAAACCCTGAAGCCTCTAAAGCCCCCAAAGCCTGAAACCCTGAAGCCTCTAAAGCCTCGAAAGACCGACACCTTAGAGCCCTGAAGCCAAGCCCATGATCCCAAAAGCTCAAACACGTTGGGGTTAAGGCTTAGGGCTAAGGTTTAAGGCGCGATTAGGGTTAGGATTTGACGAACTTGTGGGTTTAGGGTTTCGGGTTGACTTGCTGACTTGACTCATCCCATACCCTCCTGACCCTCCTGAACTCATGTCTTAAACCGCTACCCAAAAAAAACATAGGTCCAGAAAAGATAGACGCAAACCTACTAGGTGCCTGCTTGAGAGGTGCTGATCATCGCAGGAAAATCCTCCTTTGTTCATTTGTTCCGGCTTGGGAGGTGAGTTTAATGTTAGGGTGAGGGCGGATGATGCACTCCTAAAGACCAAAAAAAAACAAAACCACAACCCCCCTGAACTCTAAACCCCAAAACGAACCCGAAGCCCAAAAAAAAACCTAAACTCCCCTAAACTCTAAACCCCAAAACTCAACCAAAGCCCCGCCTCCTTCTCAGCCTTTGCCGCGGCTCTGGGCCCTCTTCTTTGGGGCTGGGGCGCGTCCTCTTGCTTGATGCAAACCTCTCGGGGCTTGGCACCCTAAGGCCCAATAAACTTCAAAGCCTATACAGGGCCTAGGCCGAGGTTTGTAGGGAGGGGGATAGGAGGAGGGGAGGGGAAACCCAAACCCTAAACCTTCAGCCCTGAAGATCCTGAACCAAACAAGCCCTGTGAGGATCCCATGTACTTCGAGCTTGGCTTTGCGAGCGCCACCTGATGACGATGCCTGAAGCACCCTATGCCCACTGCTACGACTCAACCCCCCACCCCCCGCACGGGTACAAGGGGTTTAGGGTGTAGGGCTTGAAGCCCTAAACCCTAAACCCCTAAACCCTAAACCGCTAAACCCTACTTGGGGCCAGTATTTGTAGACAGGCAGCGACGACGACTTCGGCCTCCGCTTCCTTGTTTGGCAGATTCAGTACCTCAAATTTGAGGTAAGGTCTGCTTGCAGGAAACTTCGGGTATGGGGTTTAGGGTTATTTCCAGGGTCCTTCTCCGATCCATCAAGCCCTGTGCGTCCTTAATAAGATCCTCTTGAACCCAACCTGACCTGACGGAAAAAGTCACAGAATACTCAAAGGGGCCTACCTTGTACCGTAAAGGCCTGCAGAGAGGGATCCTGATTTGGAACAAGCCAACTACACCCTCTAAACCAACCCTACAAGCCTCAAGCCCTCAGACCCTCAGATCCCAAACGCAAAACCCGAAACCCGAAACCCTAACCCTAAAACGCAAAAACCATCCTAAGATGCAAAAGACACATCCTAAACTCCAGAACAAGCCCCCACACCCCAAACCTCTGCGAACATTATGCGTGTACTCGTCCCTTGGGTTTCATAAACGCAAAAAGAAGCATGTGGTCACTCTGAAATATGCTCCCTGGGGTCTTTCTTTTGAGGCGGCCCCTCTTATAATACTTTCGGGTACTCAAAGGAAGGACCCTAATGTAGAGAACTCACCATGTGTCCTATAAGGGGAATCGAACTCGTAGGTCAAGCCCTAAACCCTAAACCCTAAACCCTAAACCCTAAACCCTAAACCCTAAACCCTAAACCCTAAACCCCAAGCCCTCAACCCTAAAGCTCTTGGCCTGCAGCCCTGGGGCCTACATCTGAAGCTGGGGCGCCACTCGCAGGTCTTGATGCAAGGACACCGGCCTCAAGGTCTTAGAGCTTTAGGGGTCTATAGGAGTTTAGGGGGTTTGGGTTTAGGGTTTAGGGTTTAGGGTTTAGGGTTTAGGGTTTAGGGTTTAGGGTTTAGGGGTTTAGGGGTTTAGGGGTTTAGGGGTTTAGGGTTTCTAGGGGTTTAGGGTTTTATGGTCAATGGGGCTCTTCCATTGTGGGTTTAGCGTTTAGAGTTTAGGGGCTTAAGGACGTCCGGGGCTTTCATTCCGAGAAAAAAAAACTACAAGCCTTAGAATGTGTGCCACCAGGGTAGGCTGAAGGCTTTAGGCTTCAGAAGGAGTTCAGGATTTCGGGTGCTCGACCGTCTCCCTGCCCGCCCGCAATCCCTGCCCTTGCTCCTTTTCGCCCCTAAACCCTACATCCTCAACCCTCAACCCTGAACCCTAAACCCTTCCAACCCTACTAAAAGCCCTCAAACCCTGAACCCCAAACCCTAAAAACCCTCAAACCCCAAACCCCGAACTACCCCCAAACCCTCAAACCCTAATAACTAATAACTAATAACCCTAAACCCCCGCGTTATCAGCCCGCCAAACCCTCAACCCCTCACCCCTAAAACCCTCAAACCCAGAACCCTAAACCCTAAGTCCCACACCCCTACGTTATCAACCCTCAGCCTCAAACCCTGCAAACTCTCTTACCGTCATACCCTCAGGGTTTTGGGTTTAGGGTTTAGGGTTTAGGGGAACCCTAAACCCCAAACCCTCAGAGCCTCCAAACCCTCATGCCCTCATACCCCCAAACCCTACACCCTCAACCCTAAACCTTCAACCCAACCATAAAATCCTAAAACCCTAAACCCCAAACTCGAAACCCTAACCCTAAACCCTAACCCTAAACCCCAAACCCAAAACCCAAAACCCTAAACCCCAAACCCTAAACCCTAAACCCCCCTCAAGCTCCCAAAGCCCACCTGGGAAGCGCCTCTGGCACCGCGGCTGCCGCCGCCAGGAACTCGGCGTAGGCCCCTTCGGGCGCTGACATCCAGCCCGGAGCCTCCGGGAGGTTGGGGTTTAGGGTTTAGGGTTTAGGGTTTCGGGTTTGGGGTTTAGGGTTTAGGGTTTAGGGTTTAGGGTTTAGGGCTTAGGGTTTAGGGCTTAGGGCTTAGCTAAGGGCTTAGGGTTTAAAGTTTAGGGTTTAGGGCGCATTAGGCATATTTGGGTTACGAGAGTTCGGGGGTTTGAGGGATTTGGGGTTTGGGGCTTGCTGAGCGGGTTTGTTTAGGGTTTACGGTTTCGGGGTGGGCCAGCTGTGGTTCCTCTTTTTGGGGAAGACCCCAAACCCTAAACCCTAAATCCTGAACCTAAACCCTAGTTTTTGTGGCTAGTAGAGAGCATATAAGTAAACCAATACGTGCCCTGTGAAGGGAGATGCACGTTGGGATCGAAGTAGGTTTTGGTTTCAGGATGGTGAGATAGGGTTCAGGGTTTAGGGTTTAGGGTTTAGGGTTTGGGGTTTAGGGTTTAGGGTTTAGGGTTTAGGGTTTAGGGTTTAGGAGATTGCCGGCGGGGAGTGCGCGGTGGGGAGGACCTGCTTTTTTTTTGATTCCTCTGGCACGCATCTTCTTTGAGGGTGCTCAGAGCATGCGGGCGACGTGTGTTTGGGCAAGCTTCGGCGCACCTCCCTTCATGTCCCTGCTGGGAAAGCCCTAAAACTAAAACCCTAAAGCCCTAAGCTCTAAGCCCTGAACCCCAGCCATGGTTTTCATATGATTCAACCGACCTCAAAACTCCCACACCCACCCCCAACAACTAATCTCCTAAACCCTAAACCCTAAACCCTAATTAAACCCTAAACCCTAAACCCTAAACCCTAAAAACCATAGTCAATGACCGCCCAAGGGCTCAGAGGTCCATCGGCCTAACCCCTAAACCGGCCCTGCAAAGCCCTGAACCCTCAACCCTTGACCAGCAAAGGCAGTTCTCGAAATTAGGGCCTCTTTTGAGGGTCCGTTGAGGTGCCGTACTATATAGGGACCCAAAAAAGGGAGCCGATTCCAGAGGACTGTTTCGTTTCCAAGGAAAGCCTGCCTCCTTCGGCTCAGGCGCGGCGTCCGTGGCGCTTTCCCGACGCGGGCCGGTTCCCGACCAGCCAAGTGGATGGCTGGCGCTGTCGCCTTGGCTTCGAAGGTTTAGGGTTTAGGGTTTAGGGTTTAGGGTTTAGGATTTAGGGTTTAGGGTTTAGGGTTTACGGTTTAGGGTTTAGGGTTCCAGGGTTGTAGGGCCGAGTGCTCCGGCACGGACACTTTGGGAGGGGCATTGTCGGTGCGAAGGCCACACCCTAAACCCCACAACCTAGACCCAAACCCCCTGAAACCCTGAAACCCTAAACTAAACCCTAGACCCTGAAACCCTGAAACCCTGAAACCCTGAAACCCTGAAACCCTGAAGCCCTGAAACCCTGAAACCCTGAAACCCTGAAACCCTGAAATCCTGAAACCCTAAACCCTGAAACCCTGAAACCCTGAAACCCTGAAACCCTGAAACCCTGAAACCCTGAAACCCTGAAACCCTGAAACCCTGAAACCCTGAAACCCTGAAACCCTGAAACCCTGAACCCTAAACCCTAAACCCTATAAACCTAAACTCTAAACCCACACCCTAAACCCTGAACCCTAAACCCTAAACCCTAAACCCCAGCCGGGTCACCAAAACTGCAGTTCATCATCGTCGGGTTCACGCCCGTGTGGCCGCGCTCCTTCGGCAAACCGCCCTCCTCGCTGCCACTGCCTTCGTCAGCCTCGGCAGTTCTTCGGGGGGTTTAGGGTTTAGGGTTTAGGGCTTAGGGCTTAGGCTTTGAAATGTTTGCAACTAGCCATGAAGCTTCACGTAGTGTGCAAGTCTCCGGCACAGTTGACGGTGCAGGTTTTGAACCCTAAACCCTAAACCCTACACCCTAAACCCTAAACCCTAAACCGTAAACCCTATTTTTTGCAGACACGGGACTGAAGGTAGCATCTCCTATAACCAGGGTGTGCCCTCACTCAGGGGCTTCAAACTCAGCATCCAGCCCCTTCCCCTATATCTTCGAGAAAAAAACTGGAGGCCTTAAACCCTTGTACTTTAGGTCTGGGAGTCCCGAATTTGAACTGATGTTGGCCATTGGCCATATGGGGAGTAGGGCTTGTAGAACTTCAAAATCTATCCCAAATCTGCCCGAGCTGTTTATCCAAGACGGCCCTTACAACCCTCTGAAAAATATGCGTGAACATGCTCCTCTGAAACCCAAGACGGGAAAGTATAAAATGGCCTACCTCAACCCAGGCGCCTCTCCCGCCGCACGATTTGGCCGGCGCCAACGGGGCGGCATGGTAGAGATTGGGCTTTCGCCGGAAAACCGGTGGCCATGAAAAGCAAACCGCTTTTTTGGGTGTGGGCTTAGGGTCGTAGAGCTTGTAGGCTTTGCAGGGTGTGTACGCTTTCTAGGCTTTGTTTTGGGGCTTCTAGGGTTTGCAGGGCTTATCGGGCTCATAGGACAATTGTCACGGGATTTCTGGGTTCCGGGTCTAGAGTAGATGGGCGGTGTAGGGTTGATATTACTGTGGTGGGGTGCCCGGGGGGGGGGGGGGGGGGGGGGTGTAGATGAGTCTTAAGGTGTAGATGAGTCTGGGGGTTGATACTCCCTGAGGCTCATAAGGTCTTTGGGCCAAAAAACCTGAAAACAAGAGTCTTTGGAGCCTAAGGGAATGATTCATGGCCTATGGGTTGCATTTTTTGTCTGAATGGGCTTCAAGTTCTCGGCTAAGGGATGCAACAGGCTAAATGGGCTTGGGGGGAGTCTGCTGTTCAAAGGCAGGGTATGGGGTTTCGGGGTTTAGGGATTTAGGGTTTTAGGGTTTCGGGGCTATAAGGTTCAGGGTTTTAGGGTTTAGGGTTTTAGGGTTTTGTTTTCGGGGTTTAGGGATTTAGGGTTTTAGGGTTTCGGGGCTATAAGGTTCAGGGTTTTAGGGTTTAATCCGAGCACCTGTTTAATTAAACCCCCCATATTTAAAGAAATATTTTTTCTCCGGAAGCCCGCCGGAAGACTACTTTCCATTGCGGTGGATTTCGTATGGCCATAACCCCCCCACATTTAAAGAATTTTTTTTTGGGGGGGGTCAAAAATCTGTCGGCAGGCTTCTTGTTTTGCTTGCGGAGATGCGGAGCTACAGCACCTCAGGGATCTGCAGCCGATTGTTTTTAATAGAGAATCAATGCAGGGCCATGGTCCAATTATTGCGGAACCCTGCCTTCCTTATTTTGGGGGGGGGGGGGGACCCCTCCCAATTAAACAGGTGCTCGGATTAGGGTTTTAGGGTTTTTAGGGTTTTTAGGGTTTTAGGGTTTTAGGGTTTTAGGGTTTTAGGGTTTTAGGGTTTTAGGGTTTTAGGGTTTTCGGGTTTTCGGGTTTTAGGGTTTAGGGTTTCGGGATTTACGTTCTCGGGGATTCTTCCTTGAGACTCAATTTTTTGGGCTTCACAGGATTGAGGTTAGGGAGTTCAGGGTTTAGGGGTTCAGGGGTTCAGGGGGCTCAGGGTTTTAGGTAGACACCGGAACAGCTCGAAGCCAAAAGGCTACAAGTGGCACACAACCCGAGTCCGTAACCCCACTTAGGGCTATGTAACATGGGTTCCCCTACTACTCACCTCTATACTACCCCCCCTAAGTTCCCCCATCATTCAGGCGATTCAGGGATAATTAAGCCCAATTAAGGCTCTGTAAGGGGGGAAACTCGGGCAGAGTCACCCCAAGCCCGTAAAACCCCCCATTACCCTAAAGCCCTCAACCCCACAACCCCGAATCGTGCTACCCTAAACCCTAAACCCTACACCCTAAACCCTAAACCCTAAACCCTAAACCCTAAATCACCAGATCGGGGCCCCTAAGACCTACCTCTGCTGCAGGTTGGCAGCCCATAGAGAAGGCCCTTAGAAGGGTTTGAGGGTTTAGGGTTTAGGGTTCAGGGTTTGGGGTTTAGGGTTAAGGGCAACCATTATGAAAGGTGATCTTTGTGTTCTTGCATGAGAAAGGTATATAGGCCCTAAATAGTTCAACTGTTGGAGGCCAAGAGGATTGAACAAAGGGGTTTATAGGGTTTAGGGTTCCATCTTCAGGTTCAGGGTTTCAAATCTCAGGTTTAGGGTTTAGGGTTAAGGTCCTGCCCCAAACCCTGAAACCAACCCTAAACCCTAAACCCTAAACCCTAAACCCTAAACCGGGGGTCCCCAGAGAAAAGACGCTCAGCAGCTCCTTGACCTGCGAAGAGCGCACCACCACAATCTCGGGAGACACTCGGCGTAGGGCCTGGTGGTTGGGGTTTAGTGTGTATAGGGGGGCTAGGGTTTAGGGTTCAGGGTTCAGGGTTTAGGGTTTAGGATTTAGGGTTTCGGGTTTAGGGTTTAGGGTTCAGGGCTTAGGGCTTAGGGGCTCAAAGGGGCGAAATGCATCCCAACATCCCTTGTGTCATGCCCGAAGTCCCATGGATACTAGATACCTAAACTCCTGAAGCGTAGACTGCCAAGCAAGCCCAAAGTGCCAAGCCCCTCAGCCCTAGACACCCTAAACCCTTAACCTAGACCCTGAACCCTAAACCTGACATCCCAAGGACCTCACTGGATAGACTGAGGGGAAGCCACAGGTTTTAGGGCATAGGGGTTTAGGGTTGGGGTTTTGGGTTGAGGATCTGAAGGGGGGGGGGGGGGGGCCTGTCCCCACAAGACACCACAAGACCTCCTTACGGCTTCTGAAAACTTCTGGTCCCGGGGTCCTCTTGCATGGAGTCTTTTTGGAACTTCGGATGCATTCGGTGTGGGAAATCAGGCTTCGGGCACAAGGAGTAGAACCCCTAGAACCCCTAGAACCCCTAGAACCCCTAGAACCCCTACAACCCCTAGAACCCCTAGAACCCCTAGAACCCCTAGAACCCCTGTTCGGGGAACAAGGACTTCGGGTTCAGAGCCTGGGAACTCTTAAAGGGGGCTTCGGGTTTAGGGCAGGCCTCAGGGTTCCCTAAACCCTAAACCCTAAACCCTATACCCTAAACCCTAAACCCTAACGTTGAGGAGCTTGCTCCCCGAGCTGTGCCCTTTTGGAACAGGACCTCAGCCCTGCAAGTCACATAGACCGTCTTGGTCTGGTTGGTTTCAAGGTCACTCGTTGGAGTTGGCCCGTAAACCCTAAACCCTAAACCCTAAACCCTATAGACCCTAAACCTTATAAACCCTAAACCCCACACCTTGAACCCTAAACCCCAAGCCAGACTTTAGTACCGCAGAAAGGGTCATGCCAAGGTTACGTACTCGACTGCTAGGCTACAGCATTCTGCTGGGGGAGGGGTTCAGCATTTTAGGGCTGGCGACTCACCCTACAACACCTGCATTGAGTTTGCAGCCACCGCAAACTTCTTCAACAAAACCCACCCTGAACCCCAGGATCGAAGCTAACAGCGTCGCGCCATGTCGCGCCCCGCCCCACCCCACCCGCAGAGCCTCGGGCACGGTTTCGTCGACCCCTGGCGGGAGTCTAGGGGTTAGCAGGTTTACCCGTTTAGGGATTTAGGGTACCCCTATAGTATAAACCCCTGGCTCTAAAGCTTTTCGCTACTCATTTACTCAGTCACACAATAAAGCCGAAACATGTGAAGCAATTGAGGTTGTGGCAAAAGTCCGCGGAATATGGCCCATGGCAGCATTGCAAGCAAAGCACGACCTTCGGGAACCTTTGCAAAGGGTCACTCCTCAAGCCCAATCTTTGCCACTGCGTCTGCAAAATGCAGTCGAAGTCGCCAGCCACACTCACCACTCCCCTCCGTAATTACTGCAATCCTGGTCAACTTGCAACTGCGGCCCACTGCCGGAAATTTATCCCTAAGCAACCTGACACCCCCAAACCCACTGTTAAAGCCTGAGGGGCTTTCCCTCTACACCAAGCCTCAATTCCGCTCTTTCAGCGAGACAAGTCTACGCCGTGTGCACGAGCTGATCCACGGAGGGTGAACGTCCCCAAAACTCTAAACCCTAAACCCTAAACCCTAAACCCGCATGCAGACCAGTGGGTTTGAGGCCGAGGCTGGAGGGCTTCGGGTTTCGGGTCTCGGGTTGCAAGTCCTAAACCTGAATCCGCAATCCTACGCCCTGAAACCTCAACCTTAAGCCGACCGAACTCCCTAAACCCTAAACCCTAAACCCTAAACCCTGAACCGGTCTGAAGGCCTCGATGTTCGACACAGCAGCCTCGCTCTTCGAGGCGTTGCGCCAGCCCCTGCCTGTTCCGGCTCTTGGGCTCGTAAGGGTTGTTTCGGGGTTTCGGTGTTTAGGGTATAGAGTTTTCGGGGTGTAGGGTTTCGGGGTTTCGGGTTTAGGCTCGGATTTTGCACCGCCTCGGGTCTTTTTTTCGATGGCTGGTACCCGGGTATTTGGGGTTCCCTGAACCCTATACCCTTTTACCCTTTACCCTAAACCCTAAACCCTAAACCCTAAACGACTCCGGCCCGCCACCAGGACATGAAGCCTTGGGTTTGGCATTCAGTGTTGCAGTTTTAGGGTTTAGGGTTTAGGGTTTAGGGTTTAGGGTTCGGGGTTTAGGCATGGGGGTGTAGGGCTGAAATATTATTTGTGGGTTCGAGGATAAGGGTGTTCCTTAAGGTCTCAAGACGCAACCTGTTGAAAGGGTTGGGGCTTATAGGTCTTCGGATTCAAGAACTTCAGCTGAGTACTGGAGCAGCTAATGTTGGAAAAGCCTTTGGATTCCTAAGGTTGGAGAGGACGCCTGCACGGAATATATCATTGCGCTCTGAGACCTTTGCAAGCAATGCGGTCAGGGCTGAGGCTTTCGTATCCCCCGGAAAGCTGAAGCTCAACAAGGCAGTCGGACCCCAAGGTGTCCAAAACTCCACGACAGGCACGAAACACCCGCCCCGCAATCCACCTTCAACTCTGAGATCCTCAAGCTTGCTACAGCCCCTAAACTTTTCAAGCCCAGATGTATACATGCTCCTTGCCTAGACACCGAGTACTAGCTGAACCGAGTCAGGGGTCCAAGCCCCTCAAACCTGCTGAACCCCCTTAATTCCCTCACAGCTAAAGCGCCTAAAGTCCCTAAACCCCCAAATCCCTTCAAAGGATCCCAGACCGCGCCGGCACGGATCCAGAAATAGCAGGGAGCAAAGTCCCTCGCTTCGGGCCTGGGCAGGGGCCCTACGGGGTGATTGAGGCAGAGATTTGTGGGTTGAAGGGTTGTAGGGTTGAGGGTTTAGGGTTTAGGATTTTAGGGTTGAGGGTTGGGGGATGTTCACAGTCCGTAGTTGAGGGCATAATAGGGGGTACTACAATCCGTATTAAGGACTGGTAGTACAAGGGGGAACATCCCTTGTTGAGGGCTTCGTATCAGTTGGGAACGAGAAGGTGGCCACTGAAACGAGGCTAAACCGTAAACCCTAAACCATAAACCATCAAATCCATCAAAACCCCAAACCCCAAACCCTAAACCCTATAAACCCTAATCCCTAAACCCTACTTGCTGAGGTCAGTTCGGCCCATCTCTGGACACGACTCCGCCGATGGGACGAACTCGGCAGCGCCTCCAAGAAAGACCGTGGTTTAGGCTTTAGGGTTTAGAGTTGGGGTTTAGGGTTTGGGGTTTAGGAGTTTATGGTCCCGTCTTGTTAGAACTCCCCTGAAGGGGTTCCTTCCACAAAAAGGTCGATCCGAGACCAGAGTTACTTGCGTGCCGGGGCAGGTGCTCAAAATGTCCAAAAGAACCCATATGGGGGTTTCCGACAATGGCGAACCCCTCAAATAGACCCCAAAAAAAACAGGATTTTCTTTTCATAGAGACCCCAAGAAGGTACCCCTAACTTCGGCAACCCCCCTATATCTTTCGGAGATTGAGAGAAGGTCTTACTCGTCCTAAGCCCCAAACCCTAAACCCTTAGGGTTGCATTTCCAGGGGCTTTAGGATCGAGAGGTTGGAGCTTCAGCAGCTTGAGACAAAACGAGCCCGTGCCCTCGCAAAGGCAACTTTCGAACAGGAATGCAAACCCAGCCTAGACCCGGGAGTAACCTAGGAATAAAAAAGGGCGCCCTTTTTGGTTTTAAGGGAATTATAAGGGAACCCCAAGCCCAAAAAAAAGAGAAAAGGGCCTTCCCCCGGTCCTAGCAGCCCTCGACGCTGAAATGCTTTGTCCATAGCTATACTCGGAGAGATGGAGACTGAGCGGACACGCTTCAGTATTGAGAGGACGATAAAGCTCATTCTGAATCTTGCAAGTCCTTTGAGAAGGGGATGGGCTTGCATTCTTGACGAACCTACAAAAACGAACCTTTTACCTCCGAAACTTCTTCAAGTTGCAGCTGTGCCCTGCAGTAACCCTGTAGCACCTGCCGAAGCCCGAAGGCAAAATCCTAAAGCACCAAAGCAGGAATGGTCCCAAACCCTAAACCCTAAACCCTAAACCCTAAACCCTAAACTTTAAACCCTACACCCTAAACCCTGATTCTTTCCTCAGCTTTCCTTTGTCGTCACAGCGAGCCAGGTTGACTGCTGAAGCTCTGAGGGCAGTTTCATGGGCCCTTTAACATGGACCCTCACCTTCTTTAAAGGGCTCTGATGAATTGGGTCCTTGGGTTTAATCGGGTAAGTAAGGGGTCCCCATTTACGGGCCCAGAAACCCAAAACCCATTTAAGGGCCCATATTTAAAGGGATCATGAGATGGTGCGCAGCTATGTGCGAAGGAAAGGAGCTTGGATGTTTAGGGTTCAGGGTTTAGGGTGCTCGCGGCTAGGGTTTAGGGCTTGACCTGTACGTGTGCATATCGGTACACTGAGAAAAACACACCTCCTTCCAACAGCTCGCGCACATGAGCACGGTTCAATGCCAGCGAAGGCCCCCACTATCCCTAAACCCTGTAAACCCTAAACCCTAAAGCCTAAACCTTAAACCATAAACCTTAAACCGTACCGTTTGGTGCTAGTCAAGCTCACGAGCAGTCAGAGCGGCCGCTGGTGGGCAGGGTCTTGGAGAAAGTGGCGAAGCCTTGACCTCAGGGCAAGGCGCGATTCGAACAAAGATGCAGGGTTTAGGGTCTAGGGTTTAGGGCTTTGAGGCGAAGAGGCTCTCGGCTTCAGCTCTTGTCCTACAGCATGAAATTCTGTCAGCAAATGCGACATTGTAAGCCCAAAGCCGTAAACTTTAAACCTTTCCCTGATCTTAAACCATGCCAAGTTGGTTACTTATAAGAGAACCTTGAAACCCCAAAAGTGCCAAAGGGCACCACTCCCAAGACCTCCCCCAAACCAAGAACCCTAAAGGCTTCGGGATTTAGGGGTTGCTACCCAAGAGCAACCGAAAAAATAGACAGGGTGCCATTTCTGGTTTCAAGGGGCTTCTAAGGGAAGCTAAACCCTAACATTATAAGGACCTCCTACTCTTTGGAGGGCTATTTTAGGGGTCCCCTCCGAAACCCCGTAAGATACCTGAAACAGCTCCTTGTAAGAGCTCGGAAGCAAACCCCTCCGAGGGGTCCGCCTTCAGCTTGCGTCTTTGGCACTTGCAACTGCCTGCGCGGCCTGCGGCAGATTAGGGTTCAGGGTTCAGGGTTCAGGGTTCAGGGTTCAGGGTTCAGGGTTCAGGATTCAGGGTTCAGGATTCAGGATTCAGGGTTCAGGGTTCAAGGTTTAGAAGCCCCACACCCTCATAGCGAAGTTTGGGGCTCCAGATCCCTAAGCCCTGAGCCTTAAACCCTAAAGCTTCTGGTGCGGGGCTTGCTGGTGAGGTTTGGGGCTTAAGATTAGCTTAAAGGTTCTCCAGGCACAACTGGCACCCTCAAACTAAACGTGGCCCCTGATTAGGTAGGGCAATGACTAGAAGTAGACTCTCTACAGAAACGCGTTTAGGGTTTGGGGTTTGGGGTTTAGGGTTTAGGGTTTAAAGGCAACTTTCGAAACCCTGGCAAGGGCCTCGTCGGCTCCAAGTACCTCGACACCGTCGTCTGCGGGCTTGTCCCCTCCTTTGAGCACGGACTCCCACCTGGGTTAGGGTTTAGGGTTTAGGGTTTAAGGGTTTAGGGTTTAGGGTTTAGGGCCCGGAACCTGGGTTTAGGGCTTAGGGCTTAGGAATTCAGGGTTTGGGGTTTAGGGTTTACGAGTTTAGGGCTTGGGCGATTTGAGGGCTTAGAGTTTGGGGATTTAGGACAGGAGTTTAGGGTCTAAGAGCTCTGGGTTTGGGGAGTGCTTAGGGTCTAGGAGTTTGGGGTTTGGAAATGCAGAGTTAATTAGGGAGTTCAGGGTTTAGGAGTTAGGGTTTGCAAGTTTAGTTCGTATAGGGTTTCGGGAATTTACTCCCAATCAGAGTTCAGGGCTTAGGGTTTAGGATAACCCTGAACCCGAAATCCCAAGCAAGGCGTACTCGGGGGTTTAGAACCTCTAGGTTCCAGGGGACATGCAATTTTCTCATCCTCAAAAAATACCATACTACAATGCAAGCATTTTTTGGAATGGGTTTTTGGAAGTTGCTGTCCCCGAACCAATACAAATTCTTCCACACTTCTCGGTCTGAGGGCAGGTGTATGGATTTTGGGGCTATCTATCTATGGGCTTAGGGCTTGGGGTTTGGGGTTTAGGGCTTAGGGTTTGGGGCTTCGGGTTCCTACCGAGAGCAAGTCTGACCTAAATGTCCTAAACCGTACCATCAGAAGACCCATCAGAAAGCTCCCAAAGCGGCTACAGCTTAAATGCTTTGTAAAGCCTAGACCCTGAAACCCTACCCTGAATCCTTGCACCCTAAACCCCGAACCTCTGGAACACACACTAAGCGAAAGGCTTTATGCTGGAGTCCAACTTGCCCAAAGTGATGAGCAAGTAGGCCTGCAACTTTAGGGTTTAGGGTTTTTGGGCTTTGGGTTTAGGGTTTAGGGTTACTAGGAGACACGATTAAGGGGTCAGAGTTTATGAAATGGGGGCTTTGGGGTTTTTCAGGTCTTTCGTCTAAGCCGAATTAACTTGACGGAAAGGTGGAGCTTGAGGGAAAACCCTGAACCCTGAACCCTGAACCCTAAACCCTAAACCCTAAACCCAACAGTTTCTACAAGGACCCTGCATGCAAGGGAGGGGTGGGGGGGGGGGGGGGGGGGGTCCGGGAGTTGCTTGGGAGCTGCTTGGGGGGGCATGTGCGGTTTAGGGTTTAGGGTTCAGGGTTCAGGGTTTAGGGTTTAGGGTTTAGGGTCTAGGGTTTAGGGTTTAGGGCTCTATAGGGGGGCTCTTGGGAGGCCTCTTGGGGCCTCGTGGTGAGGCGGTGGGGCCTCTGCTACCATGGACGCTGCAAGTTCTGACAGAATCACCTACAAGCTCGATTTATCCTGGCCTTGAGGGTTTAGGGTTTAGGGTTTAGGGTTCATGCAAGGCTGGGGACCTACACAAACCCGTCCTGCGAGCCTCTGCCGAACCCCGATCTCCTCTGAAGCATGCAGAAACCCTGCCCTGCCTTGCCGCCTTTCTTGTCAAAGTCCCAGAAGCTGTCATCCGTGAGGACTTGGGCGAAAAGCGACCCTGCACATGTTTGTCTGTCTTCGGGCCGAACTATAGGGCTTAGGTGGTTTAGGCGGCTTCAGGAAATTTAGGACTTATAGGGTTTCGATTGCCAAAGGCAGTGCATTCTGGCAACTATTTAGAAAAAAAGCTCCTGCGCTAAGTGGCTTGTCTGCGCGCTATCGAAAGCTCCAACAGGTTGGAGCTGAGCCACTCAGGACTAATGTAGGGGCCTGAATAAGTAGAACAGGGTTTTTTGGGGGATGCTATAGTATAGTTGTAAAGGGACCCGAAGGGAATACCATTAGTAGTTATTCCGACCCTATATTAAGAACTTGGACTGGGGCTTGGGAGCTTTGAATGGTCTAGGGTGTCGGTTTGACATCTGCGAGGTTTTTCGGGATGAGTTTGGGTTTTCAGGCTGAATTTCTAAGGCTGGGAAGAGGCAAAGATATCTTTCCGGGGCCCTAAACCCTAAACCCTAAGCCCTAAATCCGGGACCCAGGCCGTCGATGATCACCTTGTCCGCAATCTTGCACATCAATGCGGTGCTGGTGACCTGCGCGGTGCAGGGCTTCTGCCTTGAGCTGCTTAAGCCTTGAGCTTCCCCGAAACCCTAAACCCTAAACCCTAAACCCTAAACCCTAAACCCTAAACCCTAAACCCTAAACCCTAAACCCTAAACCCTACTCAGAATGTACTTTTACCGGGGGGGGGGGGGGGGGCGGGGGTTGTTGCTTCTTCTATCCCGCAAAGCCTAAACACGAAGAAACTTTAAACATGGGGGTCTGTGGTGGCTAGCCCGCGCGATACGACTGCAAGTCCAGGCCACTCTACTTGGAGGTTCAGGGTACTTATAACCCCGATTTGTATAAGCCCCCTAAGTCCTCTAAGCCAGTTAGAAGCAGACTTCTAGTTGGGGGTATAGGTACCCATGAACCTCCAAGCAATCATTGGAAAACGTAGGCTTGCGGTGCTAGGAAGCAAGTGCTGCAAAACCTGCGCTGCAATCTTCACCAAACTGCTACCAATGGCCCGAGGCAAAGGGGCTAAGGGTATCACAGAGGTCGTGGGCCCAGAGCGCGTTTGGGTCCTGGGGCCCTAAACTCCCATTGCGCCGTCAGTTCTGTGAAATATGACCCCCCCCACCCAAGTTGGGGGGTCCCTGATGCAATATGCAGCACCCAAGCACACGCACACACACCCACAAAGAGATCAGAGCTCAGAGAAGGCGATGCATTCAAGGCACACTGAACTTGATCTGCTTCACCCGGACGTCGTCGTCCAGCGGCACACCTTAAATGAAAACGAACAATGGAGTGCCCGAAAATTGGAACTGCGCGGGGGTTCATCCAAGGCCTTATGCAGACGAAACAATTAATTAGCATGGTATCAAACCCTAAACCCTAAACCCTAACCCTAAACCCTAAACCCTAAACCCCCCTCTACAACGCCCGCAAACCCTACATATGCGTATATACACTGCCCAACATGACTAAGCCAAATCAACCGGGCCCTGAATACACAGGCGGCCTTCTGGATTTGGCGCTAAGGGCCCCAAACCCTGAAGCTCAAACCCTAAACCCTAAACCCTAAACCCTAAACCCCCAACCCCTGCATGTTGTTTAGGGTACGTAGGGGAAGCCACCAGCCCTAGGGCAGGCATAAGACTGTCAAGAAAGCAAGCTGCCAAACCGGGGTGCGCTTGGGAACATCAGTTAATTTTGCAATCATATGGGTATTATGTACATATATATATATGTATATACATATATATGTATGAGATGGGGGCCTTCTATTTTGAATTCCTATGGTAAGGCCCTTGACAGGAAACCAGAAAAGTTGTGAACCACGTCTCGCAGAGTCTAGAGAGGATCTGGCAGTACAGCCTGTTGCACAGAAGCCCCCTCCACCCTAAACCCTAAACCCTAAACCCTCGAACTGCTTTGTGCCAAAGAGACGGATTAGGATTTCCTTGCCGCTGCCCGAGGCCTGCCAGTTCACGTGAGTCCGAGTAGCCACACCAACAACGCGCGACGGCACAAGGGTGTAGGGTTTAGGGTTTATAGGGTTTAGGATTTCGGGTTTAGGATTTCGTGTTTAGGGTTTAGGATTTAGGGTTTTGGGTTAGGATTATGATACTTCCGAGCCAACTGCTTTTGGAAGAAACATTGTGGTGAGGGTTGCAGGAATGGCGGGGGTGGTGGCGATAACGGTATATAGGCATAACACGAAAAAATCGCAGTTATGGTCCTCAATGAGAAGGCCACGAACGCCCCAAACCCTAAACCCTAAACACTAACTACCTTAAACCCTAACCCTAAACCCTAAACCCCAAACCCCACCGCCCAAAACGAAAAAAGTAATCCTCGCACCTCCCAGGTGAAGTTCTCACCTCGCCCGGACTCCCGCTGCTCCTCCTCAGGTTTTGGGGGTTGAGGGTTTAGGGTGTAGGGTAAACGGGTTAGGGTTTGGGGCGGGTTGGAGGACGTGCAGAAGAAGAGTTGCCTATTCGGGCGACACTGGGTTGGAACGAATGCACGCCACTTCCGGATGTCAAGGAAAATCAGGCCAAAGTTGCTACCTACAATGCGCGGGGAAAAGCCCCTGTGATGCCCCGAATCGTGTCATGCGACAATAATAATGGCACCCTTAAAGAGGTCAACCTGCTTAAGGCTCCTTAACTAGAACCCATGTTCGACCCAGTTTGCAAACCCAGTTTTCAAACTCTGAGGCCCAGCTACAGGCCTAATGTCACTCCGCTTGTGGATTCTTGCAATCCCCTCCACAGAATCTGTGACCTGAAGAAGTACAATAAATTTCAACAAGGCGGGATATCCTTATCCCCATACCCCCCACAAAAGGCATACAAAAGGGAACCCCATTCTAATCATCTCCTGAATATTCTCTCACCCAGATCCACTAAGCAGCAAACGCCCAAACCTGGGAGTCCTTGTCCCAGAAGTTCACATCTTCCTCCTCTTCTGCATCGCCGACGTCAACGACGTCCTCTCTTGACAACTCGGGTAATTTTTCCTTTTAGTACTACACATCCATTATTCAAAAACCAGAATTGCACTGGAAAGGTTCCGCCGCTGGGTCTACTTGTTGCGGACGCTTTTCCCCGGGAGAGCGCCGGAATCCTCATGTGCAGGGATTCAGGCTTCGCAGAATGTCTCGCCCCCAAACCCAGCACCCTCAACGTTTCAGCTCTGCAATCACCTGCCTGCATGCCGAAACTAGCCAGAGAAATGGCCTGTAGGCCTAAAACAACCTGCTCGGGGGTATGGGCATGGAAGCCCTAAGCCCTAAGCCCTAAGCCCTAAACCCCAAACCCTAAAACCCCAAATCCCAAGTCCCTCAACCCTGTAAACCCAAAGCCCTCCCCCCCCCTCCCCGGGCAAGAAAAAATAACCGCGCCTTCTCCGCATCCTCCTCCATAGGCCGCCCGATGTCCAGCAACTCGACCTGAGCTGGGGCCGGGGTCCCAGGATGTAGCTTTCCCGGGTTTGGGGTTTAGGGCTCAGGGTTTAAGGCTTGGGTTTAAGGATTTTAGGGTTCAGGGTGTGGGAGTGTGGGGGTCAGGGCCTTTTGTTTTTGGAACCCAGGGTTAACTGGCAGCAACATAGGGCCTCTCTCACGGACTACTTTGCAAGTGTTCAGGGAATTCATATTAAGAAGGCTTTGCGTCAGCCGATGAAGAGGACAGCCAGCCTGGGGTAACCCTACTGACCCTCCACCTACTTGCTGAACCTTTAGGTAAGGCACCTTCAGGCAAGGTAGATACTTAGAGGTTCATGCACACTTTATCACCCCCAAATAAGAAACTGTACCTATAAGCCCCCTTAAAACCTTAAGTAGGTTAGAAGTGCAGTTAGAATTGGGGTTATAAGTATACCCATGCGGCTCGATTCAGGGGTGGGGGGGGGGGGGGGGGGGGGGGGGGGGGGGGGGGGGGGGTTGGGGTAAGTTTGCCCTAAACCCTAAACCCTAAACCCTAAACCCTAAACCCTAAACCCTGAACCCTGAACCTTAAACCCACCCTAAACCCTAAACCCTAAACCCTAAACCCGAAACCCTAAACCCTAAACCCTAAACCCTAAACCCTAATCCTTCAACCGCTTCTGTGCTTCGGCCCGGCTCCCGGCGGGAGCTTCGGGATCGCAGAGGTGTATGGTCGAGCTTCAAGGTTTTTCTAGGGGGTTTAGGGCTTAGAGCTTTAGGGTTTAGGGTTTAGGGGCTTGGATTGGGATGATCCCCCTGAACAGGGGTTATAGTAGGGGGATCCCTACTAAGCACTGTTCGTATATAAGGAGGAACAGCTCACGGCATAGAGCTTTAGGGTTTCAGGTAGAGGCCTCTTTGGTGCGCGTTTTGTCGAGTTTAGGGCTTAGCTGGCCGCAGTCTAAGGGCACTCTGACTCTGAACGACAAATACACGAAGCCTAAGATGCACACCTTGAATCATAAACCGTAAGACCTGAGTACGCTAAAGTGCAACCAGGCTGCACGGAAGGTCAATGTCTCGTTCGGCGGAATGACGCCCTCCACCCCCTCCTCGCCTCAATGAGGGCGGCATCGTTGTCTAAGGTCTAGGGCATTCTTGACATGAGCTCGGTCCTTTAGAGTTTCCTCTCGATCGTCTTCCCAAGCCAAGCCGGAGAAATTTGCACATGCACTCACTTCAGTGCATCCAGATGGCTTGTTGGGCCTGTAAAACTGTGTCTGAGATGGGATGAAATGCAAAGTGATTTATCAACAGCCTGTCTGTGCCTTCCGGTAACTAGGTTGACAGAAAGGAGTGCTAAACAAAACAAGAGAAGCCTGTACAAGCCTTGAGAAGCTTGAGCACTTCCACGTCGATTTCAGAAGAAGAGCACTGTGCTCTCCCAGTTATACAGCGATCCCTAAATCCCAAACCCTAAGCCGTATAGGCTCAAAATAGCACCCGAATTTGTCTATAACAAGGCCTTTGGGCCTAAAGACCTTTAAATAAGAGTCCTTGGAGCCTTAAGGTAAGCCCTCATACTCACAAAGATCCCGGAGCGCTGAGGTAGGTTTGGGGCTTTGTCACCAGTCAAGTCGCCGTAGGCGTACTCGGGAGGACACACCAACTCAGCCTTCTCCTGCAGAAGTATGTCGGGTTTGGGGGTTTAGGGTTTAGGGTTTAGGGTTTAGGGTTTAGGGTTTCGGGTTTAGGGGCTTTGCGTTCAGGTTTCCAGGATGACGGGCTTAAGGAGTTTGGGTTTCTACTAGCTCGGGGGCATGGGTATCAGTGCTGCGCATGACATGATGTCGAGGCCTTTTTAGGGTTTAGGGTTTAGGGTTTAGGGTTTAGGGTTTAGGGTTTAGGGTGGGGGCTGTGTCTAGGGAGCTCAGGGGCTCTCCCTTCTACGGGTCAGACTTCCCAGAAAACACAAAACATGCAACATAGAGTCATATACCCATGCGAGCACCCCGTGAAAAAATAAAGCAAACTTCCTCCGACTATTTGATAGGTAGGAGCTATTATATACCATCTTCGACCCCCCCACTAAACCTCTGAAGAACCCAGGTCAGGTAAACACCTATTAGGCCTCTAAACCCTCTCTGTACAGGACCCCTGGAGCCCGCAGACCGAAACTCAACCAGGAGCCCTGAATGCGGTTCGGGGTTGAAAGGGTTTACGCTTTCTAGGGCATCGGGTATAGGGTTTAGAGTTAGGGTTTCGGGTTTAGGGTTTCGGGTTTCGGGTTTAGGGTTTCGGGTTGCGGGTTTAGGCTGCCTTGAGCGCCATGGTCGGAATAAGGGCCTCCCAACCGTCGATGACCTGAAGCGGCCCGTGGCTTACACAATTGCAGGCCAGGGCCTTTCCCAGAGGGTCCATCTGTAGCACCATTATAGAACTAGGCCCCAGAAACCATACTCAATAGAGTTTTTGGGTACCTAATGACCTCTGGGTTAGGGCCTTAGGGCCGTTTTGCGTTTTAGGTTTGGGGGTTTAGGGTTTCGCGCTTGGGGAGGTTTGAGGATTTTTGGGGTTCTTGAGGGGCTTAGAACCTACATGCTAAGTTCCCTGAGCCTTCACGTAGAATCCGTCCTTCAACCTAACATTTACACTTCAAACACCAGGCCCAACATCGAAACCAAGGGACCAAAAACACATGCCCCTAAGTGCTTGTTCCACTTAAGGGCGACCTCAAGAAACTCCTATGGACCCAAGGGGCTATTTTGGGCATATTTGGATTTGGTTTAGGGGTTTAGGTTTAGAACATAATTTGGGGGCTGCTTAGGATGGAGGTTGCGCAGTGTAGTGCGATCACGGGTCCCTTGTCCTTGACTCTGGGCATGTGCCCTAAAACTACTGTAGGGGCTGCACTCTGGCAGGGGCATCCACCTCCCCCACAAAACGGGACCATACAATTCAGAGGAGCTGGCCCAAATCAGTTGAAAAAACAACCCGGAACCCTGAACCCTAAACCCTAAACCCTAAACTCTGAACCCTAAACCCTAAACCCTATACCCTAACCCCTACACCCTAAACCCTAAACCCTGGACCCTAAACCCCAAGCTGAATCAGGCGGCATCGCCCTCGCCAAGGACGAACTCGAAGGGTGTCCGTCGCGTCCGCGAGTTATCGAAGCAAGTGCCGTCAGCGAGCTTGCCCATGTAGTGGATCCTTCAACAGCTATTTGCTTAAGAACACCCCAACAAACAAGAAGATCAAAAGCAAAAGGGGTACCCCTGACACCCCAAACAGAATAGAAAGGGTATCCCCTGATTTCGGAAACCCCCAAATAGGGATCACCATCTCTCTGAAAAAATCTGGGGGGTTCTTACCAAAGCAGTGGATGCGATAAACCTTCGGGTCTCATCTTCTTTTCGCAAGGAGGCCCTTCCGAAAATGGAGGGTACCCATTTTGGGGGGAGGCTTCTATCCCTATTTTGAGACATGCCCATATGGGTGGATTGGTGAAGATACCTTAACCTCATCGTTGGGTCCTCATCAAACACTTTGAGGACTTTGGTGCCTTCTCTCGCCCTGTGAAGTACGCGTAGTTCCCGACTTGCTCACGAATTTCAGGCCTCTTGCATCTGGGCAGGACGCTCACTGGCAACCCTGAGAGCCGCCCCACAACCTTAGACCCCAGATTCGGAACCCCTTCTAAAAACTGAACCCTAAACCCTAAACCGTCCCTAAACCCTAAACCCTAAACCCTAAACCCCTAAACCCCTAAACCCCTAAACAACCCTAAACCCTAAAGAAGTCCAGCCCCCCGCATCCTATGCACTCCAGCACCTTCACGCCCTTGATGCTGAGGCTTTAGAGTTGGGAGTTCCGGGTGCTGTTGAGAGTTAGGTTTAGGGTTTAGGGTTTAGGGTTTAGGGTTTAGGGTTTAGGGTTTAGGGTTTAGGGTTTAGGGTTTAGGGTTTAGGGTTTAGGGTTTAGGCCTCCATGCTCTATAAGCTTGAGGCTTGAGAGCTACAAGAGCTCAAAGCACCCCCCCCCCCCCACACGAAACTAAGCCAGGTTGACAAAAGCCCTAAACCCTAAACCCTACACCCTAAACCCTTAAACCCTAAACCGGCCCACTCCTCACGAGATCGCCTTCGTTCGGCGTCTCGTACGGATCTTCGGCGTCCCGGATGACAACTCGGCTGTGAGTTTATGAGGGGGTCGGCGGCTTAGGGGGGCCAAGGCCCTACGCCCCAAGCCCGCAGCCTTAAGCCCTAAGCTTTAAGCCCTGAGCCCTCAGCCCTCAGCCCTGAGCCTTAAGACCTAAGCCCTATGAACCCTAAGCCCTATAAACCCCTAAACTGCAGCTAAGGGCCCAATAGGGCCCTGAACCAAACCCTCTTCGCCAAGGGACACTTCTCCAATCGGGCCCGGCGAGGTACCTTCCTGGGCCTGGCACGCCCGTGATGCGCAAGTTGCAAAGCGGGTCAGGGGCTTGGGGTTTAGGGTTTAGGGTTTAGGGTTTGGGGTTTGGGGTTTGGGGTTTGGGGTTTGGGGTTTGGGGTTTGGGGTTTGGGCAGGGGCGGCGGGGGGGGGGGTTGGTGGGGTCAGGGTTTCGAGGCTGAGAAGATTGCATCTGAATCATGGGCCCTTTGCTGATATTGACGACAAGAACAACACCAGAAGTACAACATTCAAGCCCAAAACGAGCCCATAATTGGATGAGCCCTCGTAAACCCTGAAACCCTGAAACCTGCACCCAAAAAGCGGCACAGGCCTGCCCGGCGCGCCCCGACGCAGCGGCAGCGTCGGCAGCGCCGCCACGAGGGCGGCGGCCGCCCTCGGAGGTTGGAAGGCAAAGGGTGTAGGTTGGGATGTTCCCTCTTAATTATGGGAATTATACAGGGTTTGGGTTTAGGGTGTAGGGTTTAGGGTTTCGGGTGTAGGTTGGGATGTTCCCCCTTTTTCTAACAGCTCCTTAGTAGGGAATATAGTAGGGGTACTACAATCCCTATTGAGAGCTGTTAGTACAAGGGGGAACATCCCAAGGTATAGGGTCAAGCGGAAGAAAAAAGGTTGCTGGAAGGGAGCATGGGTCGACAAAAGCAAAGTAGCCTATAGAAACGTATAGCCCTGCCATAGCTACCCATAAGCCTTGAGGCAGGGTTTTGGGCGAAAGGTGGCTGATGTTTCGTGAAAGCCTTTGGGGCGTTGGGTGGTTTCGGGGCTTAAGGCTTCAGGGGTGTTGGAATGCCAGGAGTCGGGTTCAATCCTAAACCCTCAACCGTAAACCTTAAACCCTAAACCTAAACCGTGCTAACCCTAAACGAAAACCTAAAGGGGGGGGTCCGTGGGCTTCAGGGCTCAGGGGGTCGCAGGGGTAGGGCACTTGCGTGTGCAAACAAAATGTTCCTCAACCAAACCCATAAAGCTGGGTAGGTTCATGGTTGTTTAATGCCCTCCCGTGTCCATTTTTGACTTTCGCTCCCACTGTTTCTTTGCCAAGGTGAACGTTTACCCAAACCCTAAACCCTAAACCCTAAACCCTAAACCCCAAACCCCAAACCCTAAACCCCATAAAACTCTAAATCGCCAAGCCCACGCAGCCGCGATTTAGGCCTAGTCAGAAAATTTCGGAAGGGACTCTCACAAACAGGGTTATCCCCTAGAAACGGGTTTGGAGTTGCGATGTGCTGGTGCCGGGCGGCAACCACTCGCTAGGAGCAACGGTGAGATGAAGCAATGAAACGAGGGAGGCTTTGTCTCCGCTTCTACGTCTTCCTCATGTTGGCCGAGTAGGCCGAGTTGGTTGTCCAGGAAAAACAGGTTCGCTGCTGCTGCGAGACCAATGCCATGTGCAGTTGCACTCCATTTTCCAAAGCCATGCAGCGCCATTCCTCCTCGTAGCCTTCGAAACGCTTCGGGCGCGGAAGGCCATCCAAGGGATTCGCGCTGTTTCTGGAAAGATGCTCGCCTCTGCATGCAGAAACCTGAAAGCTAGGCGCAAAGTCTTCTGCACGCTGATTGAGAAGACCCATCATAGCTCGCGCCCGAAGCGCACGCTCCCAGACACGCTTAGTCATCTGGGATGGTTCTTGCGGATCCGGAAGAAGCTGCAGCGCCAAAGGCATTTTGTCCAGCAGGTCGGCATTCTGCCTCAGGATGTTCGACGCAACACAGGTACACTTGTCATTCTGTTCATCCTGCTCTCCACGTTGCCTCCAGAAGTCATGAGCCGTGATGTTCGACCCCTCAAAGTTGGACGCACCACCGACGTAGTCTTCCAGTCGGTTCGGACACCGAGGACACGAAAGCGCCATCGAGTCTGTCGCACATGCTCGGCACACACCCACGTGCAGCAGGAAGGGCACACGTGCCATCGAGGCCGCAAGACACTCTGACTTACTTCATCCGTGAAGATGTTGTCGATATCCGATACGGCAGTACACCTGTGCGCGGCACGACAGTCCGACCAGTCGCGCACGCTGATGTACATGCCAACGAGATTCTCCGGCGTAATTAAGGCGCAGGTGGCCCATCCCATGAGCGGCAGAGCGCCTTCAGATCCAGTCATGTTGCGGAAAGCGCCAGGACCTCCGATTACCCTTCCGCCCTGCCATTGAATAAACAAGTTGTCCGGGAACATTCGCAACGTGGCCAGCTGACGAACGCCAATCGTCACCGAGCGAGCGAACATGTATGTCTCCATCACCCAGCACAAAGTTTGAGTATCGCGGTTGTCCTGCCATCTCCGTCGGTCGCGAACAGCACGCAGCATGCGTTTGGAAGCGCGTGCAAGTTTCTTGAGGTACGCAAAAGGACAAAAAATCGGCAGATTGTAGGGTGTCTCGTCCAGCATATACTGCTGCCCGGATACAACTCCCAGTCGTCTGAGACACCGTTCGAAGTCTGTTCTGAAATCTGCCCGGTGCGAAAGTTGGATGCACCACCGATATCGTCTTCCAGTCGATTCGGACACCGAGGACACAAGCGCCACCGAGTCTGTCGCACATGTCCGGAACACACCCATGTGCAGCCAGGAAGGGCACACGTGCCATCGAGGCAGAACAGGGCGTGAGTGCGACTGCAAATTCGCAAGTGATGTTCGCGTTGCGCGAGACAGCTGAGGGAATGTTTCTCTATTGAATGGCTGGCACGATGTTTGTGACTGGCCGAACGAAGGTCCAAACGAACAGCTTGGCCCAAGCACCTGGAAGCTCAGGACCTCCTTGTTGCGCACGTCGAACAGCTGAAATTCCGACACCGTCCACAAACAGCTCAAAACCGCGGCCCGCCACCGAATGGAGAATCCATGGGATTGCTCTGGTCGGAATGCGAGAACACGACACGACCTGGATGAGGCTGAGGAAGGCTTTCCCCGGCGCCGAAAGAAACTGTGACTACGTCCATGAAGATGTTGTCGATAAGGCAGTACGCCTGTGCGCGAGAACGCCAGTCCGACCAGTCGCGAACGCCGATGTACATGCCAACGAGATTCTCCGGCATAATTAAGTCGAAGGTGGCCCACCCCATGAGCGGCAGAGCGCCTTCAAATCCAGCCATGTTGCGCAAAGCGCCAGGACCTCCGATTACCCTTCCGCCCTGCCATTGAATAAACAAGTTGTCCGGGAACATTCGCAACGTGGCCAGCTGACGAACGTCAATCGTCACCGAGCGAGCGAACATTTATGTCTCCATCACCCAGCACAAAGTTTGAGTATCGCGGTTGTCCTGCCATCTCCGTCGGTCGCGAACAGCACGCAGCATGCGTTTGGAGGCGCACGCAAGATTCTTGAGGTACATAAAGGAGAAAAAAATCGGCAGATTGTAGTGTGTCTCGTCCAGCATACTAGTATGCCCACCCTCCCCCGCACCGTTTCTATTACTATAGGGTTTGAGCATGAGCCCACAAGTACACCCCTCCCCCCCTGACCCTAAACCCTAAACCCTAAAACCTAAACAGCGCATTCAGCAGGGTGCAGCTGGGGAGCCACCCGCTGGCCCAGGGCAGCTCGCCGAGAACGCGGGGTCTTGAAGCAACTGCCTCATCTTGGGACGTTCCCCCTTATACTAACAGAGCCGAGGGTTTACGGGTTTA